GGGGGGGGGCGGGACATTTATATTAGTAGATTTCGGAGTGGTGTAAAATTAAAGATCAAACGGCTGCTGTTCAGGTAAGAAGAATTCTTGTATTTCCGTCGTTAAAAATCGAACCAAGTGTAGCTTTTAGACTATTTTTAGTTTAAGCAAGAACTTCAAGAACTTGAAAGAAAAAAAACAACTTGTAAATGATCTTTAGCTTAATACATGTACTCTGATTACTACAAGATGGTAAACAGTACTCAAAGTGTTCAAGATTTTATATGCAACTTGAATAGATCTATATGAAATTAACTTTACAGCTTAAAGTTTTGTCAGTGAATACGTTTTTGTTGAATTGTTGTTTGTTTCTGTTCGGGGTGGGAGGTAGAAAAACGAATAGCGGGAAATAAAGGAATGCAATTTTCAAGCGTTTACGCTATACCTACTTCAATTAAATTTTCTCAGCATCCTTTTGAACATAGCCAAATCTGCTCCTGGAACAGATCAAAGCAACGATCCCTTATACAAAATAATACTCATTAGACATATTGACATAAAACCGCATCGTTGTCTTATACAACAAAACTATAGCTCAGAGAAATTCAATTTCACTGTCACCGTATTTTTTTCTCCTATTTTTTTTTTTCGCTTTTCCCGTAGGAGCTGAACAACCAGTGGTCACAACATTTTCCAAAGAATGCCCAGACTCCAGCCAGGGCGTCTGCGAAAACCCGGGAGTCTACTCGAGGGGTCGCTTCCGGCCCTTGGAAGCAACGCAGCACGGTGGAATCCATCGCAGTTGTTGACTCTTCATAGAATAATTATTATAATACAAATTAAATATGCATCGTGCAATGCTTAAAATTAATTGAGAGTAAAAAAAAATATCATTAGACAAATACACGGGCTGTGATATAAAATTTAAAAATGAAGGGGGCATGGGGATTTTCTCTTTATTTTTATTTTTTTTTAAAGAGAGATATGTGTGGTAGCTGAAATGAAGTACATGTATTATGTTCTTGAGTACGTGTGTGTGTGTGTGAGAGAGAGAGTGTGTGTGTGTGTG